TAATGATAATTTTGGTTACAAATTTCAAAAAAGCAAATTTTGAAGGAACGCAACAAGAATTATTTGTTGTGAACTGTGCAGCTGAGTTATTTCGAGACACTGATCAAATGTGGAAAATTTTTAAAGATAAATTTTTAAATATTCAAGGTAAAGATATTTCTTATAAAAAGAAAAAGATAGCTACAAGTAAAAAACAGGTTGGCTCACAAAGAGTTTAATAGATAAAATTAAAGAAAGGCATCATTAATTTAAGAACATTATATTGACTAGTATGACAGGAGATTTAGAAGATTATAAAATATCAAGAAAGTTGGTTAAACATAAATTAGAACATCAAAAAGAAAAGGTTGGCTGAATATGTAAAAATTAACAGCAAAGATTTCTTTAAATACATTAAGGATAAACAAAATGTTAGGATGACCCAGGACCCTTAGGGGTGATAAAGGAAGGCTAGTATCTGATGATTATTGGATGTCTTGGTTAGTAAATTTTGCTTTTTCTTCAGTTTTTACTAACGAACATTTAAGCTGTATTCCACATCTTGAACAGATGATAAATGTGTAATATTTATAAAAATGAAATACAGAACCACGTTTTCTTAGATACACCAACATGATATTGTACCACCGGTTGATTACTTCAGCATCATCAGATATTAAACTATTATCTTCAGATGGTTATTTAAGCATATTCAAGTGATTAATCCAACAACAGAAAGTAAGTAAATCATCCTCATCAGCTGAATAACATTAGGGGTACCTAACTGCATTAATTCTGAGCTGGTTAAGAAAAAATAGGGAAATTTAAAGAACGATAAGTCTTCTGGATCAGATAATATTTCCCCAGGGGTTTTAAAGGAGGTTAGGGATTGGATATGTCAGCCACTTACTACTATTGTTAGTAAGTCCTTGAATAGTGGGCAGGTGCCAGAGGATTGGAAGTTAGCTAATGTTACTTCTCTTTTCAAGGGAGGCGATAAAAATTGTTCCATTATTTTTATACTCATTAGTCTTACATCAATTGTGGGAAAAGTTTTGGAAAGTCTGATAAAATATCTTTTCCCAAGTCATTTAACAAAGTTTAGAATTTTATTGGATAGTCAACACGGTTTCACTAAGGAAAAATATTGCCTTACAAATCGTTTGGCATTCTTTGAAAAAGTTGCTACTTATGTAGATGAGGGTAGGGTGTAGATTTGGTGTATGAGGATTTTCAGAAAGTATTTGACAAGGTGTCACATAAAAGCCTTGTAAAACAATTATCTCTACAGGAGTGGGGGATAAGTTAGCAAATTGGATAAAAGAATGGCTGGATGCAAGAAAGCAGAGGGTTGTTACAAATGGAGTTAAGTCAAACTGGATTAATGTCACAAGTGGGGTACCTCAGGGTTCAGTCTTAGGACGTTTGCTCTTTTTGATTTATATCTATGACTTAGATGAAGGAATGGTCATTAAATTAATTAAATTTGCAGATGATATTAAGGTCTTGGGTTTTTCTAGCTGTGAAGTGGATGCTGCTGATTTACAAAAGGATTTAAATCATTTAATGATTTGGGTAAATAAATGGCAGATGGGTTTTAGTTATAATAAATGCATGTGGGTTAATATAATTTGAATTAGAAGTATAATTGGGATCGGAATAACCTTAACAG